CAAAAAGTGATGATGTGGAAAAAATAATAATATAAAAAAATATTATGAAAAATAAAATTTAAATTTTTTTTTCTTTTTTCTTTTTTTTTTTTTTTCTTTTTCCTTCTCCTTTCCCTTTCCCTTTCTCCTTCCCCTTTCCCTTCTCTTTCCCTTCGAAACCCAGCAGGCCTGGGTTCCTTCGAACCCACCCAGGCGCTGGGTTCGCAAGGAACCCAGCACACTTGCCCGGGTTGGGTTCCATGGAACCCAGGGGTTACACTTAGGTTCTAACCCACGTCGAAACCCTGGCGCTGGGTTCCCAGGCGAACCCACGCCTGGGTTGCATGGAACCCGCGCCTGGGTTCGAATATTTTTTTTTTTCTGTGGTTTTGGTGTTTGATGATGATGATTATGATGTGTTTGATGATGATGAAGAAAGTAAGGCAAGGAAGAGGAAGGAAAAAAAAAAGGCGTTGTTGGGTTGGATTCAACCCAGGTGCTGGTTTTGTTTGGTACTGGGTTTGTTTGCTGGAGGAAGAAGATGATGGCAAATTTGTAATTTTAGTGGGTCCCACTTTTGTTGGGTTGGGCAAGGAGATGACATGTCACGTTGCTATGTCATTATTTATTCATTTATACAACTGACGTGTCTCAAAGGTTTGACATGTCATTAAATTGTCTGAGATAACGGTGAGATTTTAACGGAAGGACCAAATCGGGGTAAAAATGGTAAACAGTAAGGACCAAATCAGGGATTTTTTTAGTTCAGGGACCAAATCGGGGGTTCGTACAATAGTTCAGGGATCAAAAAGAGGTTTTAACCTAAAAAAAATCTTATTTTATAGATCGTCAAAGTATTCAAATTCGCGATTTCTAATAATGTATCTCTAAAGTCTCAGCCTTCTTCACATTGCCCCCAATTGAATTTCAAAATGAATTTCTTTTCCTAATTGATGACAATAATATAAGGACGTTAGTATTACTGGTTTTTAAATAAGGGTTCTTTGAATTTATATATTTAGAATATAGGTTAAAAGTTTAAATAAATAAAAAATAATATTTAATTTATTAACTATCAAATTAAATATATATATGATATTGACACTAAAATTCATATTTATTTTATATTTTTTTATATAAATTTATTATAAAAAAAATTTTCTTAATTTATATTTTAAAAGTACAAGTTAAAATTT